CGCTACTAGTAGCCAGGGCATCGCTACTAGTAGCCAGGGCATCGCTACTAGTAGCCAGGGCAAGTCGGTTGGTACTCCTTTTCTTTCAAATCAACACCCAAGCGACTTGGTCCCCGACACATTGGTGTCCAGGCAGTGCGAGAAGAAGGCCGAGCGGAAGGCATAGGAGCCAAAGTGCTTGGATCCACCCTGGCGTCGGAAGCAGGGCATCTGCGTCAGCGTCCGACCAAAACGAAGGGCAGTCGAGTCGATGAAAACAGGTCCCAGGTGAAGAAGCTTGGCTGAAAAGGAAGTCAAGGAAGAACCACCTGCAAATCCTCCGGGTCGGATGGCGATATCCTTTGAGCCCATCAACCGCTACTAGCGGCTAGCGGATCGGAGGAGAAAGGCCAGCCATCGCGGTAGACCTAAGGTGGTGTTGGAGACCGCCAAAGCTGTATGGCTTTTTGGCCTCGCTGGCTAACAAAGCAAACAAACAAACAAAACAAACAAACAAAAACAAACTGTAACAAACAATCTGTAACAATAAACGAACAAACAACAAACAATAAACAAACTTATAACTTACTAACTCGCACTCACTGATTGACCTGACCAAGCACTGAGTGACCCGCCGAAGTCTTCAGACCGACCGAACACCGAGCCACTCCGCCCTGCTCCTCTGCCAACGCGGACTCCACCCGGATTGACGGCCTTCAGCAGGCGAAAGACGGCCGACTCGCGCGGGAGGAAGAGGTCGTCCTCTTCCGCGCGGCGGTCGCCGTCGTCGCCGTCCTGGTGCGGGCGAAGAGTCTCCCCCCGGTGTTTGGAACGACGTGAAGAGTCTCAAGATCTCGAAGGAAAGACCTCAAACTGATCCCAAAGAAAGAAACTGTCAAATCCTGAACAAAAAAAGACTTGTGCATCACGTGCACAGCGGTCCTTCTTTTTTCCAGGATACTTTTTGAAGAGCGCCATGGAGCCATACTAATCAAACATCTGCGAAGGTCCAAAGTGGTCTATTCAGTCGCTTCATGGCAAGGCGGGCTTGGCTCAGATTGCCTTTTCTGGGCGAGGCTTTTGTGGCCGTTCTTCTGCGTGGGCTGCATGGTGGCTGCTGACAAACATGTTCAACTTTAGTCGGATGAAATGTATCTAGATTCAGCATGGCATGTGGATTCTTAGGGGTGGAGGTCATGGCTACTAGGTCGGAGGCCATCGCTACATAGTTGGATCAAATGTTTCAGCATGTTTTCCCAGCTTGCTTGACTCGTGTGTCGCCTTCCAGCTGGTCATCATGGCAGTTGCGGGCGGCATGTATGGGCCTCTCTGGAAACCCTACAATTCCCACATGAAAATGCACTGCAAGGATCGATCCTTGGGCTTGACATGGCTTCAACATCCTCTCTTTCAGTGCATGTCCACTGAAACAATTGGAATCAAAGAGCCTCCTTCCAAAGCAGAGCACGGAACGTGCAGAAACGTGCGGAACCTCCTTTCTCCCCCACGCCAGCGCGCCTCTGGCCCACCTGGCACGGAGCCCAAACAGCGGGTCCTGAACCCTCCGGTCTCAAAACACCCCGTTGACCGCGCGTTAGACCGACGCCCGCCGCGCCGCGGCGGAACCGTCCCGCACCTTGCCACATGGCGGTGGAAGGGCGAACCTGGAACATGCTGGGACGAAGATCTGGCATTCCAGCCTCAAAGTCTTCGTGCGGCACGGCACGGACCGGCGCAGCCGTGCAGCGACCCGGCGGTTGGGGTTGGTTTTAGCGTATTATCATGTATTATCTGGTATCTGGCATCTGTATTGAAAAAATGGTTTTAAATATTATTCTTCCCAGGTGTAGTGATTCCTGAGGTTTGTCAGGTGGTGCAGGAATTCTGTCGAGCACAACAAAGAAAAGTTGAAAAAATAAAAAATAAAAACATCTATTAAAATCTGCTTTTCCACAACTTTGGTGTCCCATCCTGTGTAGAGTAACAGTGATACTGGCCGCTGTCCTCGCAGTGCAGACTACAGGCTACCAACATTGGAAAACGATCTGTCCAAGCCTTGTGGAAGAGATTTGCCCATCAATGAATCATGTAGTGTGTACATATATATATATATATACAGTATACATATATATTACATACTGCTTTGTCCACTCTTTGCTTCAACCTTTCATGCTGCTGAAGTATGTCTTCCAAACTGTCTCCGTTTCCCGGTGCCGACCCCAAGTCAGATCAAACTTAGCAAGTGGATGATCGAAATAGGAAAGGTTGGATCAACGTCCATGCAAAACAAAGGCGCCTAAGCTTCTGTCATATCGCTTTGGGAGATTGCAAAATGTCTTTTTTAACTCTTTGCCTTGTGTCCCAATCCGCCTGTCATTCAAGGGACATCCGGCAATTGTGGGGCTGTGGGCTGCCGACGCACCACATCTGGGGATTTCGTGGCTTTCGGCGGCAAGGTGGCAGGCTGCGGCTGCGGCTGCGGCTGTCGCCTGTGTCAGTCCAACTCGGTGTGTTTGTTGATCTGGCCACATCAGTACCACCTGTTTCACATTTGCTAGGACTTAGAATTGGTCAAACCGGTGCAAGATCACCAGCACTGGCGCGGGTACTGCCCTTGGCCAGCATTGCAAAAATCCCCACCTCAGCACGCTGCCTTCCTGTATCTTGATGTCAAGTTGAAATGGACACTCATCTCATCTCCATTTTCTTCACGAGTGTGCCACAAAACGTCATCCCTCAAAGCAGGACCGTCGCATCTCACCCACCTGGTCGGCGGCGCGCGCACAGCGATGCCTGGCACCGATGGTCATCGTGTTCCAAACCGAAAACGACGGAGACCCGCGACACGTCGGGGATCTGAACGGATGAAGACCAGCCACCAACGGGTGTCTTCACACACTGGGGTGTGGCTCAACGCAGACCTATATGAACCTCAGAGGCAAGGTTTTGGCAAAATGCTCCACACATTTACCAAACGGTTTGGGGTGTACCAGTACCCTTCTCTTTTGGGGAGCCACACCCATCTGTTCTCCATCTTCCAAAGTCACGAGGTGTTCTGGAGTTCTGCGCGAAGCTTGAAATCTGGTTGTCTGCCGCCACGCATCTTGACGCTTTAATCTGTTGCAACCTTGGAACCTTTGTGCGCTTTTGAATTTTGAACCCTTAAAGTTTACTTTTTGATACTTTTTGGAACTTTAGCTAGACTCCATTCCATTACCTGGTACTTTGAACTGTTGTTCGGGACAGCATGGTCGCAGTGAAATGTCTCTGACCAGCATGTTGTCTTCGTGTTGCTTCGTGTGTGCGTATGTTCGTGGACTTTCAGAAGGGTGGAGTCCGTGCCCTGCTGGAGTGTCCGGTGCACCTGCAGGTGCCGTTGCTGGAATTCCCGAGCGGCGCCTGCGGATCGAAGAGCACGAGGTATTGTCACAACCGATGCTCCCCACTCAGTTTTGTTGAGGGGGGTCCCTAGTTGGAGTCACCCAAATGCAGTACACTTGCATCATTTCCAGGATCCTTGCCTTGTGCGTGGGTTCTGTTTAGGGGAAAGGAGGCTGCCTGCATGCAGGTACGTACCGGCGATGAATCCAAAAGTCCTCTTCAGACTCTTCAGAGATCTATCTACCAACTTCCGAGATTCCCAACTTCCACACGTCCTGGACTGGACACAGAACCACTCTGAGAACATCAGATTTCTGAGAAACACCGGAAGTCCGTACCACTCAGTGAAACACCATCCTATGAGGCCATCTTATGAGACTCAAAACCTCAACCGTCACCGGCTCACCCGTGCTCCGCCATGCGCTTCGGCTGCGACGTCCACGTCACTTCCGCCCGGCGACGCCCTCTTTTTACCGGCGCCGGTCGCGGCTGCGAGACCTGCGGGGCGGCAGCGGGGTCGCCGGTGTGTGGCCCTGCGGTGTGCGGGGTGCGGGGAGTGCTAAAAATCCGGCGGTGCCGTATAGTGTAGCTTATCGCCTATAACTTTAGCTATGGGGGGGTGCTCCCCATGCCGGGGACCCCCCCTTACGGTGTTTTGTGAAATCGAGCTCTAAAAATGTGCTCTCGCCTGCATTTCGAGCCGTTTTTGCCCCTGGAGCGATTCCAAAAACCGCAAAACGAGAACTGGAAAGGAGCTGGATTTAGGCCTTACAGGGACAGCTTTGAAGCCTTTTCTCGGCTTGCGCCAAGGCACAAAGCACTCTATATAAGTCACAGTGCTTTCACAAATTTCGATCTAGCAAAAACATGTCGCAGCGTTGCAAAAACTGCGTAGACATCGACGTTTTTTGGGGCGTGGTGCGAAATGCTGAAAATATCGCGCTTTTCGAGAAAACCTCGTAAATACCGTGTTTTTGAGCACTCGATAGCTCAAAACCATCGGTATTTACGTGGTTTCCTGGCGTAAAAGCACAAAAACTACGCAGATTTTTTGAAGCCTCGAGCAGCAAAAAGAAGATTGATATTTATGCACTCAGTGTTTTCCATCTTTTTGGTCATTCAAAAAGGCCTCTCCACCACCAGCCTGAGGGATTTTGCCTGGTCTCTTTTCGCGTGCGCTTCAACCGTGTTTGATACGAGGTCTTGGGGGGCGCGCGATGCATGCGAAAGGAACAATAACCATAATAACCAAGCAAGAGATACAAAGGCAACGGACAGCCGCAGAAAAAGCAAAAAAACAATCAGAAACTGAACACGATAGCGAACACGCGCCCAACTGGCATCGCCAGTCTGCGCAGCTCTACAATACATCTCGAGTCCCTCGAAAGTCACGAGGCTCCCAAGAGTGAGGAGAACAACCTGCATGTTTGTTGGAAGCAGGTCATCCTGCTCGTCCGACATGTTTGTGACTCCAAGTTTTTGATCAAGAAAAGACATGGATGTCGCCGGTCGCACGGAACTCATCTCAGGAACTTGGACCACGGTGAGGATCCATGCGGCAAAAGCTGAGGGTGAAGTGGGGTGTTTTCGCCCCTGGCCATCCATTCGCTGTCGGGGAGATGGCCATCCGTTCACTGCCGAATTTGCACCGAAAAGGGCTCTAATGTACCCTTGCCACCTTGCACATGTTTGCTCATCCCATAGCCAGAACTCCAATGAGTCTTCTAACAGCTTGAAACAATGGTCAAACGGTCGAACCCTTCTGGTGAAACGAACCAGACCAGTGGCTGGGCCACTGGCAGATCCAGAGTTTTTCGAACTCAGTCCAAACATGATACAAGCAAACTGCATTGATTTGCTCCAAGTGGTTTGAGATAAGACCTTCCTCCTTGCACTCCCTCCACCCAAGTGCAGACCAGGCCCGGGGCCTGTGCCGCCGCTCTCGCTCCTCCTCCCGCCGCCGGCCATCGCGACCGTCGCTCCTCCCGTCGCGGCCATTGCGGCGGTCTCCTGCAACGGTTGGTTGAACCAAATGGGAGGACACAGCAACCAGCGCTGGAGCCCTCTTTTAGGACATTGGAAGACTGCAGCTGCAAGACTCCAGCTGGTTGTTCATGGTGTTTCATCGAACCCGACTAAGTCCAATGAGGATTGGCACGACGTCATGTCCATGAGCCAGGGAATATCCTTTTGCCGTCATGCCTCACGCGCCCCCAAAAAGAGCGAGGCGTCTCCCATGCCGGGTACCCTTGTAATGTAGACTCTTGAGGACCATAAACCCATATGAAGAGTATTCTCTACTTCAAATGGTGGGGTTATTCATCAAGAGTCTACATTAGCCACGCATACGATGTTGGTGCTGAAGACAGGCGGATAGCTGCACTGTGTGATGCATCAAGAACTCTCGCCGAATCTCTTCATGGTCCAATATCTATTCAACCAACCTCAGAGTCGGATTGCGCTGGTTAGGTGAAGATCCTAGGGCATCAGGCATGCCCGGCTGCAATGTCAATCAAGTGGCACTTGGTTTAGAGTTTAGAGTTTAGATTCATTTTTCAGAGGGATCCATGACCTTCCCGGTCTTCCCCCGGCCTTCCCGGTCTTCTTTCTGGCCGTACTCGAAGGCTCCTGGATGTCTGAACAAGCTGAAGAACATCTTCTTCTAACTTATATGTGTGGCACTTGGCAATTGCATGTGTTGTGCGGAATCAGGGTAGTGTGAGGTAACGACATGTTCTTTGGTGCAAAGCGAGAGTTTCCACCCCTGCCAACTGCTCCAGATCTGACGACCAAATCTCCGTCCCACCTGGTTTCCGCCCAGGTTTTGGGCCTTCTGCTGCTGAGAGCAGCGGAACCTCGCGAGCAGCATCGTCTTCTTCAAAACAATTAGACAAGGTTGCGTCACTAAGACATTACTAAGACCATGTTCATTTGCTCATGTCGGCCTGCCTGATCTTTGCTTTTGCCCTTTCCCTTTCCTCCCTTTCCTCTGCCTCCGCAAGAGAAGGGTCAGACCGAACAAAGGTGGTCTGATCCCAATTCTGGGAAAAACAGGATTCCGCATCTTGGCGTCTTCAAAAAAGAGTTCATTCACCATTGGATCAGGTGAATGAAGAACAGTCCTCAAAGGTCGGTCTGGAGACCCCTCCCGGGCAGAACCCCAAACCGTTGACCGTGGCAGAACCCCTGGCCTACGTGTCCCGAGCACGTGGCCATTGCCGCAGCCCTTCAAATGACGCCAGGACTTCCCAAATTTGAGATCCCAAGCTCAACGCTGCAAGAACTAGAAAGCCCCGCGACTAGGACGCCCATCGTAGCTGCTCACTTGGTTGGCCAAAAGTGCTGATGAATGTGGCTTGTGGAAGTGGCTTGTGGCATTGCAAATGGATGTTGCTTTAGGCCCAGGCAAACAGACGACATTGCAGCGGATGTTTGCAATAAGGATGCGTTTGCCTTTTGTACTGGCAGCATTGCAATTTTGCCCTTCATGCTGGTAGATGATTTGCGGTTTGGATTTGAAGCTCCGCAACTCAACAGCCAGCAAACCTGGTAGCCTTTGCTTATCTTTGCTTTCTTGCTCAACAATCTCTACCTACTTATTGGTGAAACCACTTGGATGAAGGAAGCTGCAGTCACATTAGCAAGGGCTTTCGCCGGAGTTCTGTGCAGAAACGGGTAGAAGCCCCAGCATGCAACAGCTCCTTAAAGTACACTCCGGGGGTCTTGTTCAAACTGCTCCAAAAGATTCTTCTAAAAAATGAAGACTCGAACTAGTTCACGCAAGCGTCTGTCGTCCTGATGTGTTTTCTTGTGTTCTTTCTTATACATTATGTCTTTTTTCGAACTATTTCTTGTCTTTTTCCTGTCTGTCTTTCTTCCTGCTGTCTTTCTGTCT